TGATTGTCCGACATCCGAGCAGCATACGTGCAGATAACAATGTGTACCTCGCCCAGGCCTCCATCACCCCGTGAGAGGAAGCGGACTGCTCGGCTACACATTGTTTACCTTCCTCCCAATGGCCGGCCTCAGCTGCCTCCTCTACATAACAGCCCCACTCACTCCTGTTCTATCCCAGCAGCAGGCCTCCCCCATCACAAGCTGGCCATCATTTCACCTTTCATTCGATTTGTCAGAAGATTTCATGTTTTTGTATGAAATGGCGAAGTCCATAGGATGATGTGTGATCACCTTCAGTACAGTATCCTCACCATTGTTTTCCTGTAAACCGCCGGAATAAAAACGAATGGGCCCCCCAGGTTTGGCCATAATGTAGTAGAATGCACCGCATACTTCCATAGTACACGATGACAGACTTACCTATACATGTATACCTCCAGCGCTGCGCTGTCACGACTTCCTGGCACCGCCATCTTCATCTGGTCATCCTTCCAGGTTGGTGAGTTCTGGCAGTATGGACCAGTGATGACGTCACAACCACACGTGTGAGCCCTCGGCTGTGGCACGAAGCTCTGCAGGTTTGGCGCACTGTGCCGTCCCTTCAGAGCGCAGATGTTGGTGACTTCACGGACTGCATGCTGTGTGAGTATCCCCTAAATGGTGCAAGTTTAGGAGATATTCATTGTATGCACAGGTAAGCTTTATTATAGGTTTACTTGTGGGTACAACTTACAAAATGGACTTTACGTCTGCTTTAAAGTAGTTGTAAGGGTAGGTTCACATCTGTGCGGGTGGTGCCACTCCAGATCCGCACGAAAATCCGTGCAGCCGCACCACCCGCATAGAGGGTGGGCGGGTGACATTAGTTCTAATGGCACGCCGCCCGCACTGGAAAACGCAACCGTACTGGGAACCGAGGTTCCAGTGCGGGCTGCATTTTCAGAAGAAGCACAGGGACTTTTTCCCTACGTGTAATGGGAGTCCATTCAAATGGGCTCTCGTGCCCGTGCAAAACACTGCCCTCATGGCCGCATATATGTGAACCAGGGCTAAAGAATGTCATTTTTTTCAATAACAAACATGTTCTACTTGCCTGCATTGTGTAATGGTTTTGCACAGAGCAGCCTCAATCATCCTATTCTTAGGTCCCCCCACCCTGCCAAGTACCGCCAATAGCAAGCCTCTTGCTATGGGAGCTCCCAAGCCATGCTCCTGTAAACGGACATTGTCCACTAACATACAGAGCCAGGTTCTGACCTGCCCTCCTCTCTCTCTTCATTGGCTCACTGGCTGTGATTGACAGCAGCAGGATCCAATGGCTTCCACTGCTGTGTGAACCAATGAGAGGGAGAGACCTGGGAGACGTGACCCTCTCATGCACACACCGCTGGATTGAGATGGGGCTCAGGTAAGTAAAAGGGGGGAGCTGCACCCAGAAGGTGTTTACCTTAATGCATATAATATAAACCCTCAACTCGTAAAACAACCCATTCACTTTAAAATAGAAAGGCAAACATTTGTGTATGCAAATAAAAAAAATGATAAATACCTTTTTTTTTTCCCCCTTTTTTTATAAGTGACCCCTTTGTTCTCAGATACATAAGAGCTAGCGGAGGTGAAACGGCACACTGATCTTCCCAGTAAAAGGCTGTGCAGGGGGTGGGGAGTGGTGTCAGTGGAAGTCTGATCATTGGAGGAGAGTGAAAGAAGTTTCCAGCAAAGCTAGAGAACTGACCAAGCTGTGTTCTCATGCTTAGTGTAGCCAGTTTGTAAAAAGGAAACAGCAGGAACACCAGGGATTTCACACAAAGGAAGCAATACAAAGAGAACAGGATAACTTTTCATACAAGTACATGGTACAGCAGGCACATATCAGGAATATGAAATGTTGGGTTTACATATTCTTTTGGGTAAAAAAAAAAACAAACATTTTTATGTTCAGTTTCCCCCAGATACTTACATGACCCTTACTTCAATCTAGCACTGTGCCTGAGGGCAGTAGTGCTGCGCTCTCTCTCCTCACATGAGCTGAGGCAGTAGTGGGAGCTATTTGCTCTTGCTGCTGTTGTCAATCAAATCCTGTGACAAGGTAGTGGGGGTCATGACCACGCCACACTGTGTGTCAATAGATGCACACAGCTCGGTTCAGGATTGCACCCACATGTGCCACAATAGGAAGCGGCTTAATATGGTAGCACACGAAGTAGAGGAAGAGCCGAGAGTGCCAGAGGGGACCCCAGAAGAAGAGGATCAGGGGGCCCTTCTGTGCAAAACCATTGCACAGAGAAGGTAAGTATAACATTTTTGTTTAAAAAACAAAACAAAAAAACCCTTTACTATCACTTTAAAGTGGTAATAAACCAAAAATGTAGCATATTACAACTTACCAATGAATAGATATGCTGGCTGCATTAGCTTTCTTTAGGCTTTTTTTTGCCCTCTGTTTTCACCTGGTGATCGAGCCAGTAATACATCTCCTGTATTAGAGTGCTTCCACTCTGAATGACGAAGCACAAGGGCACCTTTTGGCAGCAGCCCAGAGACACTTGCTGCTCCAGAGTCTCTCTTCTGCAGCTTTAGCAAATTTCCCTCATTGTATGATACACTGCTTGACAGATTCAGTTTTCCTACTCTGTCCTTAGATGGATCCAAATTCAACTGGTTCAGCAGGGACCGATCAAATTTTGATCCATCTATGGCCATTCCCATTCCTGAGAAGTTAATCTAATGCTTGACTTCTCATGTACTGGCTTGTTGGATCTCAGTAACACAGCTCTATATATAAAATTATAACACTATTAAATGCCCAATGTGCACCTTTAAGAAAATTTCCAGTAGCCATATTTTATATTGGAAAATGTTGAGGGAATTTCATCTGTATGCATGTGTATGTGGCATGTTACTGAACAATAGTGAAGCTTTCCACTTTTGATGAAAATGTGTAAGACTTTGCTCCATCCTGTATACTTTACTGTTTGTAGTGGTGGACCCCCGTTCTCTGATCCTGCCATTGTGCTATCTGATCTCTGCTCCGGTGACTGGAAGAACATGTGACCCATAAACACGTAAAAGCAAAGCTTGTTGCTGAGCCAGTGTTCAGTTAGCAGAAATGGCAGTCATTTGAGTTGGGTTTTTATTTGCTAATTAGTCATTGTTAAAGAATAATTCTGCTTTCTCTGAAAATTGTTCATTTGCAGAAACAAACACTTTTGACAGATTGTAAAAAAATATATAACATTGAAGAGAAGAAAAAGCCCTTCTTTGAGAATCATGCAGTGAAGTGAATATAAGGGTTTATTCAGATGGGCAATTAGCCCCATCCTCCCTGCAGAGCCAATGGCACTTAAGTGTGCTCATAGAAATGGATGCACACGCAGCGGCTGCACAGACTCAATAGCATGTCAGAGTTTGAGATGCATGCAAGAGCGGGTGTATGGATCTGAATGTACATAGTCTGTGTTCAGATCCGTGCACACATTCCTACCCATATGTCATACTTTGACACGTGATTGGGTCTGTGCAGCCGCTGCATGTGCATCCATTTCTATGGGCTGCCTGTACGTAGCTCCAAAGTGGATGCACACACATCTGCTAGCGACTCTGCATGAAAGACAGTGCTAATCATCTGTTTGAATGAGCCCTAAGGATAATATTTTTTTTCTTTTAACTGTGGTAGGCAGATCTGACTACAGGAGCCATGGTGCAAGCCACAGTGTCTTTGGTAACAGTGGAGTACAGTGTGAAGCCCTTCATGTTACCTTAGTGTGTTGTAACCTATTAGCCGCATGATTAACATTTGAGAATAATATATAAATTGTTAGTTTGTGGAATGTTAGGGCCTTTTCACACAGGCTTTCTGATCAGGTCAGCGTGTCAGTGTTTCAGGCAGACCTGATCAGAAGCTCCATGCAGCTCTGTGGGTAGACTGATGTAAATGGCCTTCTGATGCATTGGAGGTAGCCTGATGTAAACACACAAGTTCTTTTACATCCATCCGCTCATAGAGCTAGGTCTGCCAAGCACAAACGGAACGGGCATGGATGTCAAAAAACAGACCTCTAACCTGTTCAGCTCTGATTCAACAGGGGATCCACTGGCAGATCCCTGCTAATTGGAGCAGAGAGGCTCCATGTGAAAGCCCTTAAAACTTCTATAACTAAGGTCACTTTGTAAGTTGTGCTTCAGCAGATTCTCGTAAGATACAGTTAAACGCTTTCCATTTATCTACAGAAGGGGCAGTTTACTCATGTTTAGAGGCTATCTAAGGGTTGTTCAGGAGCATATATAAATGCAAAAACAAAAACATAATATATTGCAGCTTAACAGTCCTTAGATGCGGCTGCACTAATTTTATTTTTTTCAGACTTTTTTTTTCTTTTCATCTGGCAATAGTACAAATAATACAGTTGCTGTCCCTTCATGGCTATGCATATTTCTTCAGTATATCTGTTGTTTATCTCTATTACATGGTAGATTGATGGTGCTTTCCTTTTACACAAGAAATATAGGAATGTTTGTCAGTTACATTCAATTTTCGTTGGCTAGATGAACAGGTATATTTTGTACCTGCTGAAAATACTGTTACCCTGAAATAGAGAACTAATGCAGAACCCATGTCTTTGGACCTGGTAAGCTGCAATAAATTACATTTTTGTTTTTGAGTTTAGATATGCTTTAAATCTGAACTCTGGGTAAATATAAACTATACAGTTTAATTCAGTTCCGTAATCGTTAATACATCAAATTTATTTTTTAAAAGCAAGCCAAGTACCTGAATTTGACTTGGCATCAGCCTCTTACAGAAGAGCTTGGACGGGGGAGAGGGTGACAGTCCGTAGAAGGTGCCAATCATTTGTATTGCAGTGCAAGACACACTAATTTGAGGAGAGGACTAAGTGAAAATATAATTTGTCAGTTTGTTGCTTCTACACAGAGCAGCCTCTCACTGTTATTGTAGGTTATACCATTGTATGCTAATAAATATATTATTGTTTCTATGCAGCATTGGTGAGCAGTATTACAGAGATGCCATGGAGCAGTGCCACAATTACAATGCACGTTTGTGTGCAGAGCGTAGTGTTCGACTGCCGTTCTTGGATTCCCAAACTGGGGTGGCTCAGAGCAACTGTTATATATGGATGGAGAAAAGGCACAGAGGTCCAGGTATGATATTGCAAAAAAAAAAAAAAAGGTTGAGGTAAATTAACCATTATAGCTAAGGCCACTCTGGTTACCTACTGATGAGCACATCTCACCCAGTATTATTTGATATGTATATTTGTCCAATGGCTTGTGTCTCAAGGCATTTGAGCATCAGGGGTATATTTAACACAATCTCTAAACCTGCCTGTGGAAATTGTATTGGACAGCATGGCTCCTTAGCTGGGTACACACGGGCTGAAAATTGTCCAAAAATTCCGTAATCAGTTTGGCAGAAAGTAGATGACTTTTGGCCCTTGTCTACAGCTCCTTGTCAGACATAAGCCGGTTGGGCATGCTGGAAAACCAGCATCCGATTAGCGCTGGCAGCCAACATCTGCAAATGCTGACCGGTGTGTCCTGGCAGGGGGGCGGTCCTGCTGTCAGAACACAATAGCTCAGTAGTGAGATCACCACACTAACACTGTATGTGTTAGTATGGTGATCTGTAAGTTTTTTTTTTTTTTCCCTTCAGTCTGCCCACACTGCTGTATCCCGAGGATTACACATCAGTGTTTAGTGAAGCATTCTTTTCTTGTTTTTTTAAAGGTGTTTAGTTTGTTTTCATAAACCATTTACAATAGAGAGAAAAAAACAGGAGCCCCAAACTGAGAACATGAGTAAAGGTTACATAAGAAAGGGGAAAAAACAGTAAACAGATTATTGCCAGGGGCTACCTTGAGCCCACCTAAAAGAATGGTGACCATTACATGTAGAAACATTCCATAGTAAATAGAACAACCAAGAGCAAGCAAACACACTCACACGTCAACAAACACATGTGCCATCTATTCCTCATAGACAACAGGAGAGATTAAAAGCCCATGGCCGCCACAACGGTAGCACCAAAAAAAAATATTACTCAAGTTGTAGAACGCTGTGACTGTGGTAGTGGAATATCCCCCCAAAAATAATCTAATATGTCCAGCCAGGGTTGCCATATTTCCTTAAACCTTTTAGGGCATGCTCGACCTTTGTAGATTATCTTATATTTAGACAGATCAAGATTAACCATACGATAGAATCTCTGTATGGAGGCTGATTTTAAGTTACAAAGTCATTCAAGATACCCAAAAGTCCAACTTGCGGTGTATAAGGAACTGGCAAATGTAGAGTTTTATTAGAAAAAGTAAAGAAGTCCTTCCAGTATGAAACAAGAGCCAGACAGGCCCAAAACATGTGCAACAGATCCGCACCCCCAAGGCCACAACGAGGACAAGTCCGCAGATCCAAAGTCCATACGGGCAAATTTAGCTGGGGTGTAATGAAGATGGTGGATGAGCTTGCATTGAGTAAACCTATCAGCAGTACTGATGAGATCTTGGAAACCATGTGCTTCCTCCCAACCCTCTTCAAGCAGCCCAGGAAGCACCGCCTTCCACTTACAATGAGCAATATGAAAAGGATTAGTCCCGGCAGTCTTGAGACAGGAATAAAAGGTGGTGACCAGCTTAGCAATATCCGAGTCTAACAGTAACATTTCCAGGGATGATTCCGAAAGCTCGAGGGTCAGAGTACCAAATTGTACCTGTATAGCATGATGTAGCAGCACAAATTTGTAAAAAAATTTGTTAGTCACCTCATACAGGGTCAAAAGATATAAAGCAACCATCTATTAAAATGTGCGAGATGAGTAACACCAAGACAACTCCACCAACTTGAGTCAAGGTGATCTAGAAGCTCAGGGATATTTGGGTTGTGCCACAGGGGAGTTTGTGGGGACACCCCAGGAGATGGGGAAAACGTTTTGCCCCCCTCCCGCCAGGCCAGCCAGCTAGTATCTATCGGAGAATGGTGGGAGCATCAGGAAACAACAGACCTATGAAGAGTGTCCCGAAAAGAAGCTGCAGAACCGGACTGGGCAGACAAGAGAATAGTGGAGGAGGCAGGAGAGGAGTCATGAAACCAATCATCTGCATAGGCAAGTTGGGAGGCAATAAAATAGTTGCGGAGGTTAGGGCATACCAAGCCCCCATCCACCTTAGATGCCTGAAGCGAGGACCTGGCCACTCTCGGGTTTGATCCATTCCAAAGGAAAGAAGTCAAAACGGAGTCCATTTTTTAAAATAAATTTCTAGGGAGAAAAATTGGAGAGTGCCTAAATACATATAAAAATTTGGGTAAATATGTCTAGTGAAGCATTCTTTAAACACTGCACTACACTGAACTGAACATGGGCCGCAGTTTTTGCTTTTGGTTGTCAAATCGTGATATACAGCATTCATACTGTATACTTTATATTCCTTTGCAGCTATAAGATGGGAATAGGCTGTTTATATGTGATTGCTCTAGAAATCACCATGATGCATTGGAGGGCTGAATCAGTTTCTCTGTGATTTGATTCATCCGATTCCCAACCCAGCCACATGAATTTGTAGTTCTTTTTCCTAAATGTTCAAAACTAATGCCAAAAAAAAAGTTACAATGTTTGCCGTCAAAAAATTGTATGTCTCTAGAAATGAATGCTTAGTTGAATAGGAGTAATTTAATGGTTTGTAGAAAACCAGCAGGATTAATGAAATAAAAAAGTTTCTATGTAAGTGTGTGTCCAGTGATGAAAAGGGTAATTTCACTTTATTGTGCTCTGTTGTAATAAAGGTACAGCTCCTGGGCAGCTTTATACGTATCCATCTCGGCGGTGGCGCAAGAGGCGGAGGGCGCACCCTCCTGAGGACCCAAGGCTTACATTCCCTTCTCTGAAGCCAGGTATTGTCTATATTTATGCACTTCGGGCATATGTCGGTAGCATCGGTTTGACATTTCTGAGGTCATTCAAAATTCAGTTGCATTTGACTTGCAGTTTACCTTCTTTTGGGCTGCTTCAAGCAGGTTTGGCATTTGCATAGATTTGAAATGGAATGCAATAGCTGTTGACACAGGTTCTAATTTTGTGTAAACCAGAAAAAGAATTTGCACCCTGGTCCATTTGCTCTCATTAGTGTGATGGTCTGCCGGGCTAGACAAAAAAATTTTAGTCTGTAAGACAATCAGGAGTTGTATAGCTGATTTAGATGTAGATGTTCTAAAGCAGAACTCAAAGCACACAGGTAATTACACATTTGAAATATACCGCATATATGGATAGTTTTAACTGCCAAAGCTGCCAAACTGCATAGCAGAGCGATACAGAACAGCATGCCTCCCTAGTAAAACTCGCACAACACACAGTTATTTGCCTCAGATGTTAACCCCTTCCTGTCCAGTGTCAGTGCTTTCTATTAGCACTGATCACTGTATTAGTGTCGCTGGGGATGTCAGAGACAGTTCCCCCCCCCCCCCCCCCCCCCCCCCCCGTGTCAGAATGCCCGCTGCATTCCTTAATGATTGCCACCATTAATAGTATTAAAAAAAAAACAAATTCCAGTATATATACCGCCATTTGTAGATGCTGTAACTTTCATGTAAACCAATTAATTTACACGTATTGGGATTTTTTTTTAGCAAAGACAATGCAGCAGAATACATTTTGACCTAAATTTCTGACATTTAATTTTTAAAAATTTTTTCACTGGATGTTTTATAGCAAAAAGTCCACAATATATATATTTTTTCAAAAATGTCAGTCTTTTTTTTGTTTATAGTGTAAAAAAAATAAAAACCGCAGAGGCGATCAAATACCACCAAAAGAAAGTTCCATTTGTGGGGGAAAAAAAGACATAAATTTAATTTGGGGTGCAGCATTGCATGACCACACAATTGTTAGTTAAAATAATGCAGCGGCATATAACAAAACATGGGCTAGTCAGGAAGGGGGGTAAATCCTCTGGAGGGCAAGCGGGTAAAGTAAACTGGAATGTGAATGGGGTTTGTCATTGCTATCCTCCTAAATAAAAAAAAATGCCATTTGGCTGGCTTTTATGCTGACACTGGTTCAGTGCTTTGAGTAATCGAACTGCAACAATTACACTAATCAGAACAATGCTTACACAAGTCAGATGTGCTTATCTACATACTTTCTCTGATTTAGTGACTAGAAGTTTTGAAGCTAGTGGATCAGCATTGCAACCAGACAATTAGCATTTTAGCATAATAGATTCTCATAGGCAGGCTCTTTCTGAAAAGGTTTTAGGCTGTCTTGAAATTGTTATACAAGGTGAATCAAAAATAGGATTATAACCTATCTTGTTATACATTGTCAGAAGAAAAATGCATTTTATTTTGAAACAGAACTTTTACTCACAACTTGATAAAAAATATTGTTCTTTAGGAAGGAATGTCCACATTAATAATTATGCTACAAAAATTGTGTGCTGTAAACTGCCTTCTTGCTGGAGGCTACCATTTTGCTGAAGCCCAGAGCCCCTGAGCAGCAGTAATCTTTAGGCTGTCAGCAATTTGACCTCTACAAATTCAGCACAGTGTCTAAAAATAAAAAGCAAATGAGCGTGTGTAGAGCAGGGTGAGACAGTGTATTACTGGACTTTAAACAGTATAGGCACTTTTTTAATGTTTTTACATAGCTATACCTGCAAAAGAGGCCAGCCTGACATCATCAAGCAGGACTTAGTGTTACTAAACCCACAACAGTAAAATCAGTCTACATATGCAGTAAAGCGTGCTTGTTATACTCACTGTGGAACCTAAGGGGTTAATCCTCTGCATTGTAAGCTCCAAGGAGCAGGGCCCTATAATCCCTCTTGTATTGAACTGTATTGTTACTGTAGTGTCTCCTCCATAATGTAAAGCGCTGAGCAAACTGTTGGCGCTATACAAGTCCTGTATAATAATAATAATAATTGTGTAAAAATGCTGTTTGATCCTGAGTTCACTGATCCCTCCCCTTCTTCCAGTGCCCTTCTCTTATCTCCTAATAAGAAAATATTATGTGGAGACACTCAGCACATGATCAGTTTGGTGTGTATCGCTAGAGGTGTTTTTTGTTTAATTTCCTTGGGAGAGTGTATGTAATCAGCACTGTCCAGAGAGTGGTCAGGGGTTCTACATCCTCCTAGAACAAAAAGAAAACTCCACCTACAAGCTTTAACCATGATGTGCAAGACACTGATAGAAGTCATAAGACTTCTCTAACTGCTGAGGAGAAAAGGTGCATAGCAGTTTATATTTGCTAAAATAATTGCATTTCCTTGTTCTGTGTACTGTGGGAGACAAGATATAGTGAATGCAGGGTCCTGGGTTTAGAAACACTTTAAAGTATAACTAGGCAAAACTTTTTAATTTTGGATAGAGTGGAGAGGAATTAGAACCTCTGACAGCACACCATTTTATGCTTTATGGCAGTAGGAATCTTGCTCATCAGCTGATGGGCCTTTTTCAGGTGAATCCACTTTAGGTAACCTTGGTGCTTTTTACTTTCTGTCTGTTTTCTCAAAGAATGTCTCATACATGTGCTTTTCATTTTGCACAGTTTTACACTGTTATGGGAGAATCGTGGAGATTGTCATTACTGACCATTTCTTCTAAAAATGTTAGTATCCTACACTGTCATGCTGATGCATTGGCTTCTCTGCCTCCATCAGTGACTGACCTGATATGAGCATAGGTATGTGATATTCTGACAAACATTTCCAAGGTGATAATGTACAGTTTGGACAAAAGAGCTGTATTTTCCACAATGGTAATTTTGATATTCCTAAAAGTAAAATGCACAGGAAAATTCTACTACTTAGCTTCTTATCAGTTTAGTGGGTATTTTAGCATTGGTCTTTAAATGGGCCAGTCTACACTAAACTGATTTTAGTTTTTTCCCCTGCTAGAAAGAGAAATCACTCACAAGTGTTGTCCTCTGTGGTCAGATCACCTTGGCAGGGTGTCTTGCTGCTTCTGTTGTATTCTTCATAAAATATGGCAAATAGTCAACTTGTAGACTGAGACATTTATGTTGCCTGCAGCTGGTGGGGAAACCTTGAAGCCTATAAAATTTGTTATAGAGACATTTTGACCTCCAGTGTCTTCTTTTACATACAGTATCTCACAGAAGTGAGTACACCCCTCACATTTTGGAAAATTGTACTATACCTTTTCATGTGACAACACTGAAGAAATGATGCTTTGCTACAATGTAAAGTAGTGAGTGTACAGCTTGTATAACAGTGTAAGTTTGCTGTCCCCTCAAAATAACTCTACACTCAGCCATTAATGTCTAAACCGCTGGCAACAAAAGTGAGTACACCCCTAAGTGAAAATGTCCAAATTGGGCCGTCACAGGTTGCCACTGGAGTCCTCTTCCACTCCTCCATGACAACATCACGGAGCTGGTGGATGTTAGAGACCTTGCGCTCCACCACCTTCCATTTGAGGATGCCCCACAGATGTTCAATGGGGTTTAGGTCTGGAGACATGATTGGCCAGTCCATCACCTTTACCCACAGCTTCTTTAGCAAGGCAGTGGTCGTCTTGGAGGTGTGTTTGGGGATTTTATGTTGGAATACTGCCGTATGGCCCAGTCTCTGGAGGGAGGGGATAATGCTCTGCTTCAGTATGTCACAGTACATGTTGGCATTCATGGTTCCCTCAGTGAACTGTAGCTGCCCAGTGCCGTCAGCACTCATGCAGCCCCAGACCATGACACTCCCACCACCATGCTTGACTGTAGGCAAGACACACTTGTCTTTGTACTCCTCACCTGGTTTCCTCCACACACGCTTGACACCATCTGAACCAAATAAGTTTATCTTGGTCTCATCAGACCACAGGACATGGTTCCAGTAATCCATGTCCTTAGTCTGCTTGTCTTCAGCAAACTGTTTGCGGGCTTTCTTGTGCATCATCTTTAGAAGAGGCTTCCTTCTGGGACGACAGCCATGCAGACCAATTTGATGTAGTGTGAGGCGTATGGCCTGAACACTGATAGGCTGAACCCCCACCCCTTCAACCTCTGCAGCAATGCTGGCAGCACGCATACGTCTATTTCCCAAAGGCAACCTCTGGATATGACATTGAGCACGTGCACTCAACTTCTTTGGTCGACCATGGCGAGGCCTGTTCTGAGTGGAACCTTTCCTGTTAAACCGCTGTATGGTCTTGGCCACCATGCTGCAGCTCAGTTTCAGGGTCATGGCAATGTTCTTATAGCCTAGGCCATCTTTATGTAGAGCAACAATTCTTTTGTTTGTTTTTTTTTTTTTCTTCAGATCCACAGAGAGCTCTTTGTCATGAGGTGCCATGTTGAACTTCCAGTGACCAGTATGAGAGAGTGAGCTGGATAACTCCAAATTTAACACACCTGCTCCCCATTCACACCTGAGACCTTGTAACACTAACGAATCACATGACACTGGGGAGAGGATGGCTAATTGGGCCCAATTTGGACATTTTCACTTAGGGGTGTACTCACGTTTGTTGCCAGTGGTTCAGACATTAATGGCTGTGTGTTGAGTTATTTTGAGGGGACAGCAAATTTTCACTGTCATACAAGCTGTACACTCACTACTTTATATTGTAGCAAAGTGTAATTTCTTCAGTGTTGTCACATGAAAAGATATAATTAAATATTTACAAAAATGTGAGGGGTGTACTCACTTCTGTGAGAGATTGTGTGTATATATATATATATATATATATATATATATATATATATTTTCACTGTATCGGCCGTGTGTACTTACACATGCATGGCTTAATCTTTGAAACAAGCATATGCTACTGGCAGGATCAACCAGGTAGCCGCCTCGCCAGGGAGATATATATATATATATAAAAATGTTTTTTTTTCAGCTGACTCAGAGCAGATTCTGAAGAAAGAAGGGCTCATTCCACAAGATGGTAGCAGCCTAGAAGCCCTCCTGCGAGCAGAACCCATTGAGAAGAGAATTGTCCCTGACGCTCGAGATGATGACAGTCTTTCAGAGTTCCCATCTGTTGCTGGCCGAGCACGGAAGGTACAGGCCAACAGCGTGAAGCGGCGTTATGTAGCGAGCGGGATTATCACGGTAAAGTCAGGGAGCTGACACGCAGCCTATGGGGAAGAAACACAATAATGAGGTCACCCTTATTAATATTTGAATTATTTGTTTCCTGTTTTCAGATATGTGGTCTGAATGCAGATAACACAGTTAAAATTTTGGGCATACTTGTGTATATTCGTTATATGTGAACCATTTCACATTATTGGTATAAAGGTAACTTGGCACAGTACTCCTTACTTTGAGATAAGCTTGTTTCTGTCCATACACAAACATGTTTGAGACACAGAAATTACTGCAAAATTGAATATCAAATGGTTTTGGGTCAAAAGGACCAGTACCCTAAAAACAATGTATTTTATTTTTGGGTGAAAGACGTTGAGTCACGTTAGTCTTTTATGGCCCCTAGAGACTTTAGCAGTGAGTTTGTAACTTCAGTCCTCAGGTCCACCAAGCTGCCTGTAGTCTTTACAATTACTGTACCTGTTGGGTTTTGCTTTTATTTCACATTAAAGTGAATAGAGCAGAATTGTAATACCTCCTACTGTAGTAGAAAAAACAAAACTCCTACATTATGCACCTAGAATTGTAATTGCATTGTATGCTTTCAAATGTTTTAAAGCGGTATTAAACTATTTTAAATGAAAAAAAAAAAATATAACAAATAACCAGGCCCTCAATGTAAATATTGACCAGAATATTTCAGTAACATCAATCTAAATGTTGACCAGAAGATTTCACAGTTCCCGGAGGCACCAATTGAGCATGTTCCTAACACAAGATAGCACCATTGGCTGTACTTATACATGGCAGAATGGCATTAAGCCCATTGCCTTGCAGCAGCAGGTTGATGTGGATATTTTTGTTTTATTTTTAAGTGCATGCATGATAAAAATGTGCACGTTTTTAACACTTTCAGGTATTCAGGTATTTATCACCTCTCACAGGGATCACCATGCTCCCTCTGATAACACCAGTTATCTGCTTTTCACTATAGAAAGCTAGGGCCTTTGTTTACACAGCATCCAGGGTCATCCCCAACATTCTGGACAAAGATGCTTGCTCATAAATTACATCCTGTAAATCCTGGCACCTGTTTGTTTCTCTGCTGGGCTCACAAATATCTGACAGAGATCAAATCCTGCACTACACAGTTACAATGTTGCAGTCTGATCACTAGTTGCTTCCTCCTCCCTGCAACAGACTGATGACATGATTTCAGCCTAGGCAAAGTTGCTGGACTAGAACTGAAGCACTGTTTAATAATAAAAGGTAGAGCTGATTTTAGAAAATCATGTAGTTTTATTCTGTAACATGTCAGGAATTTTATTATTGCAGATTTGAACAGTTACTGAAAAGTCCTGGATACCTTGACATTTTTGCCATAATTCCTAACTTTCCTCTTGAGTGTTCCCACCAGCCTTTATGTACAGTATGTCCTGCCATCTCTTGTTGTAGATGTAGAGTAAATGTGCAGACCCTAAAACTGAATATCTGGATTTGGGGTGGCCTGATTCCCTTATATAAGATATAAGACTTCCCTTGGTGCTTTCTGAGAAGCATACACTGGATATAAAAAGTCTACACACCACTGTTAAAATGTCAGGTTCCTGTGATGTAAAAAAATGAGACAGATAAATAATTTCAGAACTTTTTTCACCTTTTAATGTGACCTATAAACTGTACAACTCAATTGAAAAACAAACTAAAATCTTTTAGGAGGGGAAGTAAACATAAAAAACTAAAATAATGTGGTTGCATAATTGTGCACACCCTCTTATAACTGGGGATGTATCTGTGTTCAGAATTAAGCAATCACATTCAAAATTATGTTAAATAGGACTCAGTACACACCTGCCTTCATTTAAAGTGCCTCCGATTAACCCTAAATAAAGTTCAGCTGTTCTAGTAGGTCTTTCCTTACATTTTCTTAGTCGCATCCTACAGCAAAAGCCATCATCCGCAGAGAGCTTCCAAAGCATCAGAGGGATCTCATTGTTAAAAGGTATCAGTCAGGAGAAGGGTACAAAAGAATTTCCAAGGCATTAGACATACCACAGAACACAGTGCAGACAGTCATCATCAAGTGGAGAAAATATGGCGCAAAAGTGACATTACCAAGAACTGGACATCCCTCCAAAATTGGTGAAAAGATGAAAATAAAACTGGTCTGGGAGGCTTCCAAGAGGCCTACAGCAACATTAAAGGAGCTGCAGAAAAATTTAGCACGTACTGGCTGTGGTACATGTGACAACAATTTCCCGTATTCTTCATATGTCTGGGCTATGGGGTAGAGTAGCAAGATGGAAGCCTTTTCTTATGAAGAAGAAAAACATCCACGTCTGGTGAAATTTTGTAAAAACACATCGGAAGTCTCCCAAAAGCATGTGGGAAAAGGTGTTATGGTCTTATGTAACTTTTTGGCCATAATTCCAAAAGATATGTTTGGGCGCAAAAACAACACTGCACATCACCAAAAGAACACCATACCCACAGTGAAGCATGGTGGTGGCAGCATCATGAGGGAATTGTGAAAAGTTCCAAATACCAGTCAATATTTGCACAAACCTTTCAGGCTTCTGCTAGAAAGCTGAACATGAAGAGGATCTTCATTTTTAAGCATGACAACAACCCAAATACATTCAAATCAAGAAAGAAATGGCTTCATCAGAAGATTAAAGTTTTTTGAATGGCCCAGCAAGAACCCAGACCTGAATCCGATCAAAAATCTGTGGGGTGATCTGAAGAGGGCTGTACACAGGAGATGCCCTTACAATCTGACAGATGTGGAGTGTTTTTGCAAGGAAGAGTGGCCAAATATTGGCAAGTCACGATGTGCCATGCTGATAGACTCATATCCCAAAAAGACTGAGTGCTGTAATACAACCAAATGGTGCTTCAACAAAGTATTAGTTTAAGGGTGTGCACACTTATGCAACCATATTTTATTTTTTTTATTTTTTACTTCCCTCCACCTAAAATATTTCAGTTTGTCGTTCAACTGAGTTGTACAGTTTACAGGTTACAATAAAGGTGGAAAAAGTTCTGAAATGATTTATCTTTGTCTCATTTTTTTACATCACAGGAACCTGACATTTTAATGGGTGTGTAGACATTTTATATCCACTGTATTAAAATGAATGAGGTTTTTCAGTGCTCTGATTAAACGTGAATGCCCCCCATGTTAGGGAGTATATCCTGTCTGCATTAAAATGGCACACATACTCTACTGTGCTCATGTATTTATAACGTATTGTGGGAACAATGTGTCCACCTATTTCTCATGAGACAAACTTAATTATTGGCAGTCATGATTTCTGTTTTACAAGGAGAATTGAGGCATTTATCTTGCATTTTGTTTGTAGCAATCAAATTAAATGTGTTAATGTAGGTTGATACCAGCATTTACAAAGTACACTCACCAGCCACTTTATTAAGGAACCTTGCTAGTACCTGGTTGGACCCCCTTTTCCCTTCAGAACTGCCTTAATTCTTCATGAATAGATTTAACAAGGTGTTGGAAACATTCCTCTGAGATTTTGGTCCATATTGACATAACATCACACAGTTGCTGCAGATTTGTCGGCTGCACATCTATGATGCGAATCTCCCCTTCCACCACATCACAAAGATGCTCTATTGGTTGGAGATCTGGTGACTGTAGAGGCCATTGAAGTACAGTGAATGCATTGTCATGAGATTAATTGAGCTTTGTGACATGGTGCATTATCCTGCTGGAAGTAGCCATCAGGAGATGAGTACACTGTCGTTATAAAGGGATGAACATGGTCAGCAACAATACTCAGGTAGGCCGTTGGAATTTAAACAATGCTCATTTGGCCCAAAGTGTGCCTAGAAAATATCCCCTACACCACTGGACTGAACCGCTGATACAAGGCAGGATGGGATCCATGCTTTCATGTGGTTTAATGTGTGGCTCATCAGACCAGGCAACGTTTTTTTCCAATCTTCTGTTGTCTAATTTTGGTGAGCTTGTGTGAATTTTAGCCTCCGTTTTCTATTCAGGAGTGGCACCCGGGCTTCTTCTGCTGTAGCCCATCTGCTTTAAGGTTTGACGTGTTGTTTGTTCAGAGATGGTATTCTATATACCTCAGTTGTAATAAGTGGTTATTTGAGCTACTGTTGCCTTTCTGTCATCTCAAACTAGTCTGTCCATTCTCCTCTGACATCAACAAGGCATTTTCCTCTATTCAACTGCCATTCACTGGATATTTTCTCTTTTTCAGACCATTTTCTGTTGACCCTAGAGATGGCTTTGCATGAAAATCCCAGTAGATCAGCAGTTTATTAAATACTCAGACCAGCCTGTCTGGCACCAACAACCATGCCACATTATATGTCACTTAAATCCCCTTTCTTCCTCATTCTGATGCTTGGTTTTAAAGTTCAGCAAGTTGTCTTCACCATGTCTAGATGCCTAAATACATTGAGTTGCTGCCATATGATGGCTGATTAGCAATTTGTGTTACGAAGCAAAGAGACTGAGAGTGTATATTCCTTTGTAAAATGAAGGGACAATTATAGTGCACCAATCAAGATAACATACAGCTTGTATTTTCATGACTGTTTATAATATTGTGAAGCCCTATGGGGAATCACATGCTCATTTGAGGCTCTACTCGCTTTCCAGTAAGCATAGCATTTGTTTAAGCATTTTTTTTTTTCACTCTGCTTCAGATAGATGTCTGGGCTGAAATGAATGCTGTACTATGTTGGCCAGGAACAAGTATTGTCATAGCAAATACTTTTTAGTGCCAAAATGTTAAACGTGTAGAAAATGCCTTAAAGGTTAATTTATATAGGATAATGTGGTAGTTTACAGGATATATAAATGCAGTTATAATTGTAATCCTGGTGAACTTCAGTGCTGTGTTTTCCGTTTTGTTTTTTTACTTTAGGCCTAGTTCACTTGGGATTCAGCTTGTAGAACAGCAGTATAAACTGCAAGCTTTTATGAAGGTTTTAGCAAGCTTTTGAAAAACTTTCAGTAAGCTTTCAGCAGCTTTCTTGAGCTTTTACAGCACCCTGCAGCTTCTGTTTGGAAATGTGAAATGCGGTTGTTAAAGCAAAACTTCACTCAAAAGGGGAAGTTCCACTTGTTTGCAGACCCCCTCTGTCACATTCGACACTTTTTTTTTTTGGGCAGGGGGATTTGGATACCTGCTGCTTGCTATGGGGGCACACAGCAGAAAGGAGGAGCCAGGAGTGCTAGCAGAGGACCCTAGAAGAAAAATCCAGGCTGCACTGTGCAAACCCATTGCATAGCAGGTAAGTATGACATGTTTGTTATTTTACAAAAAAAAAATAAAAAATGAACCTGTAGTATCGCTTTAAGACAAACCATTTAAAGCGGAACCTACATCAAAATAAACAAGTCTTATGAGCAGGTGTACTATGTCTCTTTTGCAATAAAATAAACTTACCTGCATGCTCACAGTTCTCTATACAAGGTGCACAGAGCTGTGCATGCACAGCTTAGCTTACATTTCTGGCACAGTGGCAGTGTGCTTGGGATGACCAACTCCTGTGCATGAGTTGCATCATCCCGTGCCAGCCAGTCAAGAAGGCCAAAGACCAGCGCCCAAAAGAAGCCAGGGAGAGGACACCAGCATGGGCGCAGGACGTTGTAGATATCAGATCGTTGCAGAGGAGGCGAGTATTTGAGGCTGTAGCTCTGCTTTATCTCAGACAGGGGTGCTTATAGTGGGCAACTTTTATTCACTTATGTAAAACCTTTATCCCAAAAGGAAAAAAAATATTGTTGGATATAATTGCTTAAAAAGTATTTCCAGGACTTTGGCTTTAAAGTGTAACTAAGTCTGCAATATATTATAACTGGTCCAACACCAGCATCCTCTCCTTTGCTATTTCTAGGTGTTGGGTTTTTTGCCATCTTGATTGACCGGTGTGGGGTGACTTTAACTCATCCTGTCACACACCATGCTGGTAATGTAAATTGAGCTGCACATGCTCAGCTCAGCATACATCCTGCAGAACACTGTGAGCAGGCAGATAAGGTTCTTTTTTTTGCAGAAAAAACTATTGCTTTGCTATGATGCAATAAGGTATATGCCTGCTTGTAAGTTTGTTTTTTTTTTTCTTCTTTTTTTTGGGGGGGGGGTGTTTTAGACTTTAGTTCCCCTTTAATTTGTTAGTCAAGTCTGTCAAAATCTGCAATCTGCTAGTGCACCTAACATTACCCACTCCACAGGTTGACAATGCTCCCTGTCCAAATGTGTCTCCATGTGTCCTCTAGTAGAATGGAGACCGTTTAGGATGTAAATAATACTGGTCAGCTCACCAGGTACAAATAAAGGAAAAAGTCTTAAAAAAAACAAAACAAATGCAGCCACTGTATTTAAGGATTGGTTGGCTGCAATATATTACATTTTCTTTCTGGGTTTAATACTGTGGAATCTTGGTGATTTGGCTGTTTGGCCTTACATTATTTATGTTTTTGTGTTTTGTTTTTTTGCCTCCCATAGCGAATTCTGGAGCCTGATGATTTTTTGGATGACCTGGATGATGAAGATTATGAAGAAGATACTCCAAAAAGACGTGGGAAGGGTAAAGCCAAAGTAAGAGTCACCAGCATTATTCCCGGTTGCTTTAATCACTTGGGCCCCATGCCTATTCTGACACCTCTATCCGACATGTAAAAATCACAATTTTTGTTGCTAGAAAATTACTTAAAACCCTCAAATTTTATATAAAAGTTTTTATGCAGAGGCCCTAGAGAATAAAATGGTGGGTGCTGCAATTTGTATTGTCATATGGTATTTGCAAGGCAGTTTTTCGATGCAATTGTTTGGGGGGGAAAAATACATTTGAATGCATTTTAAGGTACAAAAACACAATATAATACCCAATTGTTTGGTAAAATATAAAAGATGGTTAGGCCGAGTAAACGGATACCTAACATGTCATGCTTTTAAAATGGCACGCGGTCATGAAATTGCGACAAACTACGGTACTTAAAAAATCTCCATAGGTGAAGCTTTAAAAGCCTCTACAAATTACAAGTTTAGTGTTACACAAGAGGTCTAGTGATAGAACTGCTTTCGCTATAATGTTCTTGGTGATACCTGTGTGGTGCAAATACCGTATGTGTGTGCCTTTGCTTGCAATGGGGGACGGGAGCGCTTTGTAAAAAAAAAATATATATAAATATATTTTAAATTTTTTTTTTTTTTTTTTTTTTTTTTACTGTCTTTTTTTTTTTTCATCACTTTTATAACTGCCACAGGGGATGAACAACTTCCTTTGTGCTAGCTGGGGCAGTGACAGGTCCTCTCATTGGAGAGATCTGGGGTCTTTTTACACCCCAGATCTCTCCTCTGCCCTTAAAAGCATCTGACCAAACCAAGATTGGTTTGATCAATTGCTTTCACAAGCGGGTAATCTCTGGCTTACATCCTGGCAAAGACGGAAATGACAAAATACTCGTTGCTTCTGGTTTCCTTTACCATAGAGCTGATTGGGGATGTTCTGATCCTCGATAATCTCTAAAGTAATCAGCAGAACCACTGGCTTCAGTCCTGGGATCCTTGGTGGAACGAGAGAGCCCAGTAAGGCAGCGGGAAGGGTAGGGTTCCCTTCTGACACCTGTAAAAGTGATCCAGCTGCTACTTAGCCAATACAATTGCTTTTTATATTTACCACTTCAGCTCCAGAAGGTTGTACCCCCTTCATGACCAGGCCATTTTATGCTATTTAGCATTGCGCTACTTTAACTAGTAATTGCGCAGTAGTGCAACGCTGTACCCAAACAAAATTTGAATAATTTTTTTTTCACACAAATGGAGCTTTCTTTTGGTGGTATTTGATCACCTCTGGGTTTTTCATTACATAAACAAAAAAAGACAGAACATTTTAAACTGTTAAACGTTTTGCCTCCTGCTATAAAAACATATCCAATAAAAATAAAATTTCTTTATAAATTTAGGTTGTTTTATAAATGTATTGTCTGTTTGTCTTTGATTAAAAAAACAAACAAAAGCCTGTATACATCAATATATATTGATTGGTTTGTGTAAAAGTTACTGGAATATTGGAATTTTTACAAATTTTACATATTTTATTTTTTTAAAGTATTCTAGTAATGGCAGTGATCAGCAACTTTAAGTGGGACTGTGATAGTGCGGCGGGCAATCTGACACTGGGTGGGAACTGACACTGACACCACTAGTGACACTAATACAGTGGTCAGTCATAATACTGTACACTGTACCAATGACACTGGCTGGGAAGAGGTTAACATGCTTGGAGTAATCAAGGGATTAAGTATGTGCCTAACACATGTTAATGTGTGTAATATGTGGCTGCGTTTTACTAAAAATCTTTATTCCTTCTCCATCTGTCGAGCTCTGTGTTGATTGTCAACACAGGGCTCCGGGCTTTGATTGGACACTGCTGATTAGCAGGTCCCAGCCATGAATCCTTAGCTAGGACCTGCTGGCAAAATCCCGCTGCGTCTAATCACAGGGCGTGCACCCTGTACCAGGAATAGACCAGTGACATACAGGCTGTCTGTCTGCAGTACATTGGGGGGTGGCAGTCCTTAATTGGTTAAAGCCCACACTCAGCTGATAAAAAAAAAAAAGATATCAGGATGATGCCTGTAGCTGTCAGGCATCATTTAGGTATAACCACTTCAAACTGGCGACGTACTGGTATGTCACCGAGGCTGAAGTAGTAGGGAAGCGAGTTGTGCTATACAATAAGGATAACTCCTCAGGAAAATGTAGTACACATTCAATACATATTATGATTTCAACACAGGTTTTAAAATGCATTTCTGTAAGTTCTTGTTCCTCATTGTCCTTGTTTTCAACTCCAGATATAATTGCAAAACACCATAGCCAGTTTTTTGACTGTTTACTTTCCTTCATGATTGTCAAAGCAATACAATTTGATCAAGCCTGTGATTGTGTAGTAAAACAGCAGCAGCTTACTGATGAGTGCTTTCTGTGTCTGAGTCTGAAATTTTAAAAGACTTACAATGATGCTTCTTCCTCCTCTAGTATGATTGCTGATGGTTGTCTAGTGTTAGATTAAGGACGAACTCGCACCGCTTATCTATGAAATTGCACAGCAGTTGGATCGATTGAGCGATCTGGCTAGGGGGCAGTGTGATGCGCTATTTAGCACACCATATGGCTCCCTTTGCTTTTTTTTTTTTTTTTTGTTTTGTGTGAGCTTTATTTGAAGTGTACAAAACATAAACTTCATTCACAGCAATCTTGGACAGTGTGTTGCACTGCCTGACATTCTAGTGCACATGTGTCAAACACAAGGTCAGCGGGCCAAATGCGGCTCTCCAGGCCATTTCATGTGGCCCTCTCACCTCTCCTGCAGCTCTAACCCAGCTGCTTCCCAGAAGCAACATAAGATAAGGGAGGGTGATATAAGGGAGTGTGGGGGGGCTCTGGACATCTTCTTGTAATTATTTTGAGAATACTACAATTCTATTCCAGTTTAAAAGGAGGGTTGCACACTGCTGGCATCATCCTTAAGAAACCTTATTGGAGGCTGCTCAGCAGGGCTTTTTTCTCAGAGAATGGGTGCAGGAACTCTCCCCTTCTGAATCCCCGTGTCCCCACCCCAACTCACCTCTGAGCAATGTTCCTTGGTTCCACTACCAACCTTCCAGTACTTCCCCTTCTAGAGAATACAGAACCAAGTATCTTTTTGTGGTGATAATTTGTATGGAATTTGTTAATAACAATAAAGGCAGTAAAATAGATCCCCTGGAGCTAGAATCAATAGACCCCCCGTAACAATAGATCCATCCCCAGCAGCTAGCAACAATGGACCCCTCCCTCGACAGTTAATTTCTCCCTGCATGGATTGACACTCCCCCTAGCAATATAAGGTCCGCCCCCAGCAACAATAGATTCCCCCACCAGCAACAATTGACCCCGCTGAAAAAATTATCCCCTCTAGCAACAATAGATCCCCAGCAACCAGAATCAATAGACCCTCCAGCACACCCCAGCACCCTTTGCAAATACATACATTCAGAACTAGAGGTGACGGAACTGTGTTCCCCCTGAAAAAAAAGCCCTGCTGCTCAGACAGAACATTATGGAAGAACCATATTCCGTCTGAGCAGGCTCCAATAAAGTTTCTTGTGGATGATACCAGCAGTGTGCGATCCTTATTTTCAGTCTTGCATCATCTGCTACAAGCCTGTGAGTGGGCTCTGTGCCAGTCTGCACCTGTCCTTCACAGCTTAAGTCTTAAGTTATTGCTAAAACCAGTAATAATTAAAGGCAGAAAATTATTTATTGTGATAAAGGGTAGATCCTGTTGTATAGTATTACAGATACAACCGGCCCTTTGATTGAAACCATAATGATGATGCGGCCCACAATTAAATTGAGTTTGACACCCCTGTTCTAGTGCAATTCAGCTCGGGGTTCTGTAATAAAATGCTGCACGTCTGCATGTCATTGCAGCTCTGCGTTGCAGTGTGTACGGGACACACAGGAAACAATTGTTTCCTGTATGTTTCTGTGGTGACTGATGTTTTACCATGCGGTAAAAAGTTTGGCACTGCATATAGTGTGAATTGGCCCTAAAGATTATTTTTAAGATGCTGAGCCGTATGTGAAATGCACATCTGTTGTGGCAGAATTGTATATAGTTGTGCTCAAAAGTTTGCATACCCTTGGAGAATTGGTAATATACAGTGTGTACGATTTTTAAAGAAAACATGAGTGAGGAGGCAAAACACATTTCTTTAGTTTCTTATGGGTTTCATATTCAACTGTACTGTAGACAAACAAACAAAACCAGCGCTCAGATCTTCAAGCAGACTAAAAGGAATTCACAATGGCAAACGAAAGAACAAAGATGGGAAATCTGGGTACTAATGAACAAAGAAAAAAAGGGCGCACTCTCATCGTGCATTATCATGGTACACCATGTATTTATTGTGTAATCAAATAGATATATACTCACAAACCAAAGGAGAATAAAAGCAGTATGAATAGTCTGCAGTGGCAGTCAATGCAATGCTGTGCCCCAATTGGGGATAAGCTGGGGATAAGCAATGCTGTGCCCCAATTGGGGATAAGCTGACGCGTTTCGGGAGACGAACCCCCTTCCTCAGCTGAAGTGTGCTACACACTTCAGCTCTGAGGAAGGGGGTTTGTCCCCCGAAACGCGTCAGCTTATCCCCAATTGGGGCACAGCATTGCATTGACTGCCACTGCGGACTATTCATACTGCTTTTATTCTCCTTTGGTTTGTGAGTATATATCTATTTGATTACACAATAAATACATGGTGTACCACGGTAATGCACGATGAGAGTGCGCCCTTTTTTTTCTTTGTTCAACTGTACTGTAGGTCATAACAGAATGGCACAATCCTAAAACAAATGGCAACACGTAAACAAATGAAATTACCCCTGTTCAAAAGTCTGCATACTTTTAGTTCTTAATACTGTGTATTGCCCCCTTTAGCATCAGTGCCAGCATGCAGTCTTTTGTAATAGTTGTCTGAGGCCCCAAATTTTGTGGGTGGTAATGCTGCCCATTTGTCTTGGCAAAATACCTCCAGGTCATGCAAAGTCTTTGGTCGTCTTGCATGACCCGCACGTTTGAGATCTCCCCAGAGTTGTTTGATTACATTAGGGTCAGGAGACTGATGGCCAGAGCAGCTTGAATTTCACCTGAGGTTACCTGTGGGTTTTTCTTTGTATCCTGAACAAGTCTGCTGTCAGTTGTGGCAATCTTTTTTAGTCTACCTGACCTTGGCTTGGTATCAAGAGATCCCAGAATTTTCAACTTCATAATAAGTAATTGGACAGGTACTGACTGGGCATATTCATGGCTTTTAGATATCTTTTAATATGATCTTACATCTTTCTGTTCTTTTACCTTCTTATGTAGGTCTTTCGACTGTTCTTTTCTGCTCCCCATAGCTCAGTATCTAGCCTGCTCAGTGCATCCACATGAGGGCCAACAAACTCATTGACTATTTATCCACAGACACTAATTTCAACTTAAAAAGCCACAGATGTAGGAAATTAACCTAATTCTATGCATGAAGGTAAAAAGCCTGTGTGTAGCAGCCCCCCATAACACCAGAGCCCCATCCCAATCCAGCAATGTACACGAGAGCCTCAGTTTTTCAGGGACTCTCACTCCTGATTGGCTGAAGCAGCAGTGGGAGCCATTGGCTCCTACTGCTGTCAATCACAGCCTGCGAGCCAGTCAGGATTCGGAAGGGGGGCGGGCCCGAGCCGCGGCTCTGTGTGTGAATGGACACACAGAGCCGGGGGTCAGGAGCGCACTTGCTCAGGTGGCCCCATAGCAAGCTTTCTGTGGGTACACCCGACAGGAGGGAGGGCCAGGAGCGCTGGCAGGGGCCTCGAGAAGAGGGGGATCTGGGCTGCTCTGTGCAAAACTATTGAACACAGCAGGTAAGTATAACATGTTTGCTATTTAAAAAAAAAAACAAAAAAACAAGACTTTAGTATATCACTTTAACTTGTGTGTGTCATCTTGTGTGTCTGTACCAAGGCCAAGCATTTTAGGGTATATAGACTTTTGATCAGGGCCATTTGGGTGATTTCTGTTATGAACTGCTTCATATGATCACTGTCCTATTTTCAATATTGGTGACAAAATGTCATTATTTCTACCAAGATATGCAAACCTTTGAGCACAACTACTTATGACATCTGGTAATGGTTAGATATGTACAGTTTGTAATGTTCTATTGTTTAATTCTGAATTTTATTAAACTTTCTCAAAAAAAACTTAAGTGTATGGATTCAGCTGAGGCTTCAGGGTTAAGTACTTGGAGAAAGTTAATCGCTATGATGGCCAAACGCATGGAAAATTTAAAACAATATCAACCACTTTCAATCTCAAAAATAACCAAGCACATCAAGGCAACCTGCCCCCAGTTATGGGAAGCCCCCATAACTTCCATGGTGTGGTCTACTTTAGGGATAGTTTGGAAGTCAGGGATATTTAGAGAAACACTATTATTTTTCATTTGTTTTTGGGCCAAGGCTCAGTTCTGATGGTGTTCAAAGGAAACTGCATGTTCATGTTAAATCTGAACATTTAAGACCAAATATTAATATGGAGTTTGTGTACAACACTTTTATTACTTTTAACATCAAGCAATTATCAATAAATATTTGTTTGCTATTGGCGCTGTTTTACATTGATATGCTCCATCACGTAACTGTTCTTTCCTTGTACTTTTTCCAAGAAGTCTTTTTTTTTTTTTCTAGGGAAAAGGTTTAGGTGGTGCCAGGAAGAAGTTGGATGCAGCTGCATTGGATGACAGAGACAAGCCATACGCCTGTGACAGTGAGTCAATTTCCTGTGGATTCTATTTTATTTTTTAAGTTCTCTTGTCCCGTCACTTGCCCTGTGGTATAGTTCACTGTTTGATTGTTCACGTTTCAAAAACCACCCTCTTCCTTTACCAGATTTTTTTTTTTCTTTGCTTTTCACATTTTACAGGGCATATTAATATTTTCTTTGGCTTTCTTCTTTAAGGGTTGTATTACAGTCAAATAACTACTTGTTATGCCATTTTCCTTTATTTACTCCCGTTTCTAACCAGGCCATTTTTTGCGGTACTGCGCTGCGTTAATTTAACTGACAATTGCATGGTCATGCAGCGTTGTACATGAATTAAATTTATGTTCTTTTTTCCCCACTGGGACTCGGTGATTGACATCTCTAGCCGCCAATAGTGGTGCGGGTAGGGTGGCACGTGCGCACTCACCCTACCCGGAAATGCAAATCACACATATATGTGGTCTTGCGCAGCCCTGTTGCCCTGTAGCAGTACTTCTGCTATAGGGCAGAGGGCAAGCAGTTAATCTGTTTGTCAATATGAAGATCAGTACTCAAGTACTGTATCTATACAATAGTTGTCTTCTATCATCCCATTCGAAATAGTATGTCTACACTGTGTAAATCTGACTTTAAAGTGCACCTGTGTTGTGCTTATTCAGGGCAAATCAACAGATTCACTGAAAAGGTTTCTTTCCTGGTTGCATATACTTCCTCTCTTTTGCCCCTCGCTCCATTTGCCTATAGGAGTGCAGAGAAGCAGCTTTGTGTGAGCTCCCAAATCTTTTTTTATTTTAGTTTTCTGGAAGTATAGGGGAAGTCACTTCTGCCGCCAGGGAGGAATAGGGAGGGGAAATATAATGGGGGGGGGGTTACATCAATTTAGTGGGCCTTTTACTCTGCACTGCATGGGTGAAGTTCAGGTTCACTTTAAAGAGATCTGTGCTTTACAGGGCAGGGTTTCTTTGGTCAATTGTGCAAGCTAAAATGATACAGTAAAAAAACAAACTATCAAACATATGCAAATTCATCTTTTCATACAAGTAATATGATTTCTCAGTAGGTCTTGTGTTCTGGACTTTTCATTCTCATTATTTGACTTAACTTCTATGGATGGTGTGATTATTTTGGGCACTTGAGGAAGTGACTTAAAACATACAGGACATGTTAAAAACTGTTTATCATTTTATTGGGATAGTTTTAATTGGAACATGACATGTAAATTAACTGTGCTCATTATTTGCCATTACCACAAAATTTTAGCTACATTACTCTTTTAGCTCACTTTATCAGTTGGACAATCATACAGGTTTATTCAGTAAAGTAGTTAATTGAGTAAAACAACATTTAAGGTGCAATAGCTCACTGCAATCAGATTTCATTCTGCTCTAATCAGATCAGTTAAATCATTTTTTGATTGGTTCATGCAATTTTCTTGGTGGTTTTGCTGTTTGAAGTGTATTTTCAACAAGTGTCATTATTTCTGCTCTTAAAGTGTCGTTAAAGGCGAAACTTTTTTCTTTTCCTTTTTGGCTAGTTAGGGAGATTTATAACTCTTGCCAGTTTTTTGCAATCTGTGTCCCATTTAGGAGATCCTACAGCCAAAACAGGAAGTGAGAGAAAATCCTTCCAAAGTGAGTTAATCCCAGGGTGTCACCAGGGTCCCCATTGGAAGATTTCAGCTCTATCACTATTCTGCTGTCAACCCAGAATTTTGGATTTTCTTTTACTTTCACTTTAAATGATAATGATAAACAAGACAAAGAGGGTGAATCTCCATAACGGGGGGCACAGACAGCAATAAAAACTGACAGGTGTTCTAATCACTCTCCCTGGTATATAAAACTAATGAAAACCCTCCAAAGTTTTACCTTTAGTGAAACATTTAACAGCGCATGACATATAAAATGGGAAAGAGCATTATGTGATTTCCTACCAGTTGCCATTGTGATTACTGAATAAACAGGAGAGAGTTGATTTGTTAGTGAAAATATTTCCTTTCTGCCTAATTTTTCTACTCCTGTGATGACAGTGTTTTTGCCATTTAGAGGCCTGGAAAAATAAGTAACTTTTTTAAAATATACAGGTGAAACTCGAAAAATTTGAATATCGTGCAAAAGTTCATTTATTTCAGTAATGCAACTTAAAAGGTGAAACTAATATATAAGATTGACTCATTACATGCAAAGCAAGATAGTTCAAGCCGTGATTTGTCATAACTGTAATGATTATGGCTTACAGCTCATGAAAACCCCAAATCCACAATCTCAGAAAATTAGAATATTGTGAAAAGGTGCAATATTCTCGGCTCAAAGTGTCCCACTCTAATCAGCTAATTAGGCCATAACACCTGCAAAGGGTTCCTGAACCTTTAAATGGTCTCTGTCTGGTTCAGTAGGAATCACAATCATGGGAAAGACTGCTGACCTGTCAGTTGTGAAGAAAACCATCATTGACACCCTCCATAAGGAGGGAAAGCCTCAAAAGGTAATTGCAAAAGAAGTTGGATGTTCCCAAAGTGCTGTATCAAAGCACATGAATAGAAAGTTATGTGGAAGGGAAAAGTGTGATAGAAAAAGGTGCACAAGCAGCAGGGATGACCGCAGCATGGAGAGGATTGTCAGGAAAAGGCCATTCAAAAGTGTTGGGTACTTTCACAAGGAGTGGCCTGAGGCTGGAGTCAGTGCATCAAGAGCCACCACACACAGACGGATTCTGGACATGGGCTTCAAATGTTGTATTCCTCTTGTCAAGCTGCTCCTGAACAACAAACAATGTCAGAAGCGTCTTACCTGGGCAAAGAAAAACAGACCTGGTCTGTTGCTCAGTGGTCCAAAGTCCTCTTTTCTGATGAGAGCAACTTTTGCATCTCATTTGGAAACCAAGGACCCAGAGTATGGAGGAAGAATGGAGAGGCACACACTGCAAGATGCTTGAAGTCCATTGTGAAGTTTCCACGGTCTGTGTTGATTTGGGGAGCCATTGTCATCTGCTGGTGTTGGTCCACTGTGCTTCATTAAGTCCAGGGTCAACGCAGCCGTCTACCAGGAGATTTTGGAGCACTTCATGCTTCCTTCCGCAGACGAGCTTTATGGGGATGCGGACTTCATTTTCCAGCAGGACTTGGCACCTGCCCACATTGCCAAAATCACCAAAACCTGGTTCCATGACCTTGGGATTACTGTGCTTGATTGGCCAGCAAACTCGCCTGACCTGAACTCCATAGAGAATCTATGGGGCATTGCCAAGAGAAAGATGAGAGACATGAGACCGAACAATGCAGAAAAGCTGAAGGCCACTATTGAAGCATCCTGGTCTTCCATAACACCTCAGCAGTGCCACAGGCTGATAGCTTCCATGCCACACCGCATTGAGGCAGTAATTGCTGCAAAAGGGGCCAAAACCAAGTACTGAGTACATATGCATGCTTATACTTTTCAGTGGTCCGATATTGTTCTATGTACAATCCTTGTTTTATTGATTGCATGTAATATTCAAATTTTCTGAGATTGTGGATTTGGGGTTTTCATGAGCTGTAAGCCATAATCATCACAATTATGACAAATCACGGCTTGAACTATCTTGCTTTGCATGTAATGAGTCTATCTCATATATTAGTTTCACCTTTTAAGTTGCATTACTGAAATAAATGAAATTTTGCACGATATTCTCATTTTTCGAATTTCACCTGTAGATATCTGATATAATATTGCTACCTAGCAAAATGCATTTTACAGCCCTTTTTCATGCATGTTTTCTGTGCAATAAAGGAGCTTGTTTTACGCAAGAACTAGTTGGTAGGTGTGTTCCTTTAACAAAATGTTTTCAGCATGCTTCCTGTCCAGTAAATGCCAGTGGCCTATTTTGTAACAATGAAATAGGTTCTCTGGGGATCTGTTAATGTTGTATGTTTTATGAATCATTTATCTTAGGAAGCAATCAAATGACTACTGCCTTTGTGCTCAAGTTCCTTAATTGATTTTGTTAAATTAAATGAAAATTGACAGTTCGCTGTGCTTTTTTTATGTCAATTTAGTTTAAAGACAGATCAACCTCAAATTAATGGAGAGCATTTAATATCAGTGATTGTTTATTGTCATGCTCTAACCTCCCATCTTGCACAGGCGTTTACCCCAAAAAAAGCGTTTTTACACTGTACTCTCACTGTGTGCCTATTAAATGGTTTTAGGCCTAATTTGGTGATAAATATGCCACAAACTGCAACTCACTGCCAACCAGTATCCTTGTACAACTTGCTGGTTGTTTAATGGTCCATATGTTTGGCTCAGGCATCCACCAGCTGGGGTTTTCAGTTTTGACTGTGTTGATGGCCAATATGTTATGATTTAGCCGCTTAACGCAATAATCTACTGATGTATGAGTGTCTTTATGTCTGCCATTCAAACATTTATGCTAATTATTTTTCCTCACAAATGTAATATTTAGTGTGCAAAGCTATAGAAATAATTCGGACTACTATCGAAACAATTTAAGTGGACCATAGACATGAGACGAGACACCTGATTTGGCCACTATTGGGTAATGATCTCATTGCTAATGCCACTCCATGCCCCCTGGGAATGTGTAATATTGGCAGTATATTGCTGCACGTCAGCATACCATGAGGGACATTTATCAAGCAAATTAGGGACAAATTTAGGCAGGCTGCCTGTCCGTTAACAAACTGACGGTTTTTCTGCTGATTTGCAACCACTACCCCTGTGATCTTTGCACAGGTCTGCAAGAGAATTACCATTGGAGATGAGAGATTTTCCTAAAGATGAAATTTTCACTGAAAACAGACTTACAATTAGGAAGCGGTTGGGGCAGGTTATTCTAAAGCTGAATGAATGAAGCTGCCAAATGAAATACATCTGTCTCATAGCTGCCATAAATCTGACTTGCTATGTTCCCCATTATTCTTTTCTTTTACTTAGAAATGAATCTAAAAATGACCATGTTAACTAGGAAAATGTTTTACTCCTTTTGTAATTCATTAGTGTGAT